TCAGGAAGTCTTGCAATTATATAAAATGATGCTTGTCAGATTCTTGTCCATAATTTCCACATTCATGCCCTTTGATTTCCAAATCCAAGAAATGTTCTGTTCTATTTCCCCCCAGTCCAAATACCAAAATATATTATTAATAACAAAATATAAATTTTCTGCTTGATCAGAGGAATAAAAGAACAGAAAGAAAATGTAGATTGGGGACTCAATTCACAGATATTTTAAAGGTAAATCCAGATGGTCGATTTTTAACTGTTCTACATTCCAGCAAAGAACCTCAAGTGGTACTTTGTGAATTACAATTGTTTTTCTTCACATGACTGCAGACATGTATTGGAGTGCTGCAGGGTTTCAGATTACAAGGCATAAAAGTACCTTGGAATCGAGATAGCCCACAGCATCTATTGGCAACTCCTTGTGAAAAAGCAAGTGTTCACTTAGGGAAGTCATGTCAAACACAAGGCCCAGGGGGCGGATGCGGCCCGCGAAGTGGTTTCATGTGGCCCGCGAAGCCATCCTGGAAACAGTGAGGGAACGGGCCCCGCTGCCTTGGCCCTGGCCGGCCAGGAGCCAATGTACAATTTTGTGGTGGCCATCTATGCTGAAACGCATTCAGTCTTACCTCCACAAGGCCATCTAGAAACACCGAGGAACTAACCCCTGCTGTGTCGGCCCCGCCTCCTGGGTGCATGCTGGGGAGGTGTCACCCTTTGTGAGGAATGAAGAAATGGATCATGCCTTGGCGCTTGCCCCAGTTCCACCCCCTTCTGCCAGAGACCCTCAGATCTGTCCCATTCCTGCCCAGGCCCCCACAGGCACCCTTGATGCGAACAATGTAGAGCTGGCCATGCCCACCCAGTAGACCACACTTACTCCATCCACACCCACCCAGTAGGCTGCACCCACCCTGGCCACACACACCCGGCCCCCCGGAGGGCAACCGCAATGCTGATGCGGCCCTCAATGAAATTGAGTTTGACACCCCTGACTTAGGGAGACCATATTCTATAGGAAGATATAACTTCCTTTTGAGAACAATCCCATAAGCAAGCTGTTGCAGCACAAGTACAGATAGTCCTTGATTTACAACCATTCGTATAGTGATCATTCAAAGTTACAATAGCATTGAAAAAAAAGAGACTTATGATCAGTTTTCTTCTTCTTCTTCTTTACTTCCTCTTTTATCACTTCAGGTTTCAAGGGAGATACGAAAGTCTGGTTGCTTACTTCTGGCAGCCTCAAATCATTATTTGATGCTGTTGTTGTATGTCTTTGATGTTGTCTCCCCACCTTTTTCCACCTTCTTCTGTCTCAGGTTCTTTGGTCTTCCCCTCTTCTTGTACTCCCCCCCCCTTTTTTTGGTCTCCTGTTCCCCACGGTCACATGATCAAAATTCAGGTGCTTTGCAACTGGCATGTATTTATGACAGTTGCACTGTCCCAGAGTCATGTGATCATCATTCTGACCTTCCCAGCCAGTTTCTGACAACAAAGTAAATGGGAGAAGCCAGATTTGATTAACAACTGCATGATTCAGTTAACAACTGCAGTGAATTGCTTAATGGTAGCAAAAAAAAGTTGCTAAACTGGGACAAAACTCACTTAAGAAGTGTCTTGCTTAGCAGAAAATTTGGGCTCAATTATGAAATACCTATACTCAATCTGTACTGTATCTTTAATTCATGCAGATAAATATAAAATGTATCATTGTTCTTTCAGAACCTTAAAGTGGAATATATTTCTAATAAGATTCTCTCAACGTTGCCATAAATAGTAATACCTATAGTTATTAGGATCTCAAAGTTGAGAAATTGGTCACTTTTTTGCCTGCAACTATACCAGATATTTAGGGAAGAAACTAAACCTTAAAGAAGAATATATATCTCGGGATAGCAAATGCCAAGCAGTAAAAAATTTTCACATCAATGCAAACTATTTTCAATAGTCCAGTACTACCATAAATCATTCCAAATCACTATCTTACATCTTCTAGTTCTGCTTTTCTTTACAAAAAAAAGACATAAAGTAATTATCGGAGACATACCAACTTAGAGAGGCTGGGAAATATATACAACAATCTCAGTTACTCATTTTACATCTAAAAATAAAGATGTGAAGTTTTTCATCTATAAGAATGTTTTTGTCCTAGCTTAAAAGTTATCTGAAGTTTACCTAAAAATATGACTAATTTGGATAAGCAGATTTTGGTTAATTTGACAGATTTTGAAGTTGTTGATAAGATAAAATATTTGGGGGTTACCCTATCTGTTTCTAATGTAAAATTGTATAAAAACAATTATGAAAGGCTGTGGGTCAGGGTACAAAAAGATTTGAAAAATTGGGAGAAGTTACAGTTATCTCTTATGGGAAGAATAGCAGTGATTAAAATGAATGTCCTGCCAAAGTTTCTTTTTCTATTTCAAATGTTACCTATTTTAAAGAATGAGATTAATTTAAATGAATGGCAGAAAGGTATTAACAAATTTATTTGGGCAGGGAAAAAACCAAGAGTAAAGCTTAAAATTATGCAAGATTTCCGTGAGAGAGGTGGACTCAAGGTACCGAATCTGAAATTGTATTATGATGCTGTGGTTTTAACACTAATTAGTGATTGGGTTAATTTAACAAATGTAGAAATACTCCATTTGGAGGGTTGGGATTTACTTTTTGGATGGCATGCCTATTTAATTTTTAATAAAAAAGCTGATCGGGTTTTTAAATCTCATATTATAAGGATTTCTCTACTCCGGGTTTGGAGGAAATATTATAAAAGTGATTTTAAAATACCATTATGGGCTATACCTTGGCATGCGATAGAGGGGATAAGGAGAGGAGTTAAGATGGATAGTGTTTCTTATACACAATTACTTAGATGGGATGGTCAAAATTGGCAGTTAAAATCTTTGGAAGATTTAGCACATGAAAATATTATTTATTCATGGTTTCAGTATAGACAAATAGTGGATAGATGGAAGATGGACCGTAATATGGGCTTGCTTAAAGAAGATGAAAATCTTTTTAAACAAGTAAAAGATCAAAGGCGAACTCATATTAAGAGAATTTATGGGGTTCTAGTAGAACTGGATTCAGAATCAGAACTAATTAAAGAATGTATGATTAAATGGGCACAAAATTTTGGTGAACCAGTTCTACTGGATACCTGGGAAACTATCTGGGTGAGGAATGTTAAATTCACACAAGCCCAGAACTTAAGGGAGAATTTCTATAAAATGTTTTATAGATGGCACCTTGATCCACAAAAAATGTCTCGTATGTATCCTGACTTACAGCCTAAATGTTGGAAATGTGGTTGTTTGGATGCTACTTATTATCATATTTGGTGGTCGTGTAAAAATATAAAAGCTTTTTGGATTAAGATATGGTGGAATATTCAAAGAATTTTTAGAAAGAGGGTAAAATTTACCCCACAATTGTTTTTGTTAGGTATTGTTACTGATTGTGACGCTAAGGAGGTTATATTGATGTTAAATTTGATTACAGCCGCAAGGCTGTTAGTAGGGCAATATTGGAAGAAGGAGTCCTTGCCTACCTTGCAAGAGTGGTTTTTTAAAGTTTCTTATTTGGCGGAAATGGCAAAGATTTCGGCTTTCTTAAAGGAGCAATCGCAAGAGAAATTCTTTGCGGTATGGGAAAAATGGATAAATTTTATACAATATAAATTGGATATAAAAAAATATCATTTAGTTTTTCAATAACTTATATATAAATTTTAATATTTTATAGATTGTACTTTTTCCATATCTCTTTTCTTCTTTCTCCTTTTTTTCTTACTTTTTTCTCTTTCAAGTACTTTTTCTTTTTAATATTTATGCTTTTTTCTTATATATATATTATTGTTAATAACTTTACAAGTTGTTTATGTAATGTATTTAGATATACTTATGATTTATATTTTTTCAATTTTTTTTAAGATTCTTAAAATTTTTTAACTAAGCCTATACTCAGCTCTGGGAAGGTTGGGGGGGATGGAGAGGGAGGGTTGGGGTGGGTGGGTTAGGGTTGTTTTTTGTCTTTTTTTTTCTTTTTTCTTATTTGTAAAAACTTTAAAATTTTCAATAAAAAAAGTTATCTGAAGTTATCTTTTGAGGGGCAGTCATAAGAATTTTTCTAAATAGATCATCTCATTGTTAAAAAAAAAATTAAACCAACATAAAGCATAGTGCAACTGAAATTTGTATAGCAAATCCTTGCCGTTAAAGAATTAGGCACCATATTTATAATAATACTCCCTCTGGAGGTCTAATAGAAAGATACCACTTTTATCTTAAAATGAAAATAAATTGGTCAATAAATAATAAACAATGATCCATAAATAACAATCTCACTTCCCTTACATCTATTCAGTCTTAATAGGATTCCTTCTTCTAAATCAAGATTTGTAATTTGGTCCATTGTAGAAGACAACTCTATGAAACCTACATATCATGGACCAATAAACAATAAAAGAAAAGCAAAAACAATGTTGTGCTCTCATTACAAAGGAGAACTGATTAATTCACTGTAAATCATCATCTCTAATATTTATTATTTGTAATGTCAGGAGGAAGAATACGAAATTCTAAATTATCTACATATGCTAACTTTAGTATCAATGCAATTATTTTATTGTTAAACATAAAAAAGTAGAAAATTATAAAGCTATTATAAGACATACATAACATTTATTGCCTTATTTATCATTCAAAGTCAAGGGACGTCCTTACTACTTTATTCAATCCTGAAATACATTTTACCCTCTGCAACATCAGATCATTAATATATATTAATTAAACCTTTCCTTTCCTGACTATTGCACAGGTGTCAAAACTCGCCACATCATGTGATGTGTTGCGACATATTGCGACTTTTTGCATTGCCAGCAATGGGGTGGGCATGGCTTCAGTATGATGAAACCGGCCCACGGGCCAGCAGTTTGACACCCCTGGACTATTGCCTAGCCATAAATATTGTAAGATATAGAAACAGAATTATACTCACATCATACTTTGCAATTCTAGAATAAAGTTTGTTGATCTCCCCGTCCCTCTTCCACTGCTAGACGGAACAGCTGACATTGGGCTGGGTCCAGTACTGCTCATCTGAGTAAACAGCAGACAAGGACAACACATGAAATATAGCAAGTGAACTCCACAAACCGTCAGGGATATTTCAATGTATTAAACCAACTGTGCTTCAACCAAAAATTTGCAATACTTTCTTCAGCATGTGTAAAATTTTCAGGACATATTATTTTATCAAACAGGTAGGCAAAAATAATGCATACTAATTATAATTAATGTGACTTCAATTCAGACTTTATTTTGACCAAGAACCTGCATAAACATCTAATATTTTTTCTAGGGCTAACCTAAAAGGAGTCAACATTTAATATGTAAGTTGAATTATATCAGCTATATCACTTTACAGTAATTACTGTAACTCTGATATAATTCAACTGGCCTTAAATTTTGATCTCTTTTTGACATCAATATTAGGTAAAATATTAAATCAAATGTTAAGGATATGTACATGTATTTTTAAAAATACATTATAAAATACATCTTCCTTTTTTTGCATTTCTGAATCCTGAACTGTTTATAGTCCAAATATCTGAAGTGAATATTAATCAGTAACAATTTTCTGAGTCCTCCCAATATGAGATGTCAGAGCTGAATTGGGATTTTCAGTGGGAACCATTTGTGGAGTTTAAGAGACAATGCTTTAAATATTGTTTGTCTGGTGGCAAATAAGCAGACATTACGATTCTTAAATCTTCAAAAATGATTCAGAACAAGCACAGCTCTTCTTGGTCCCTTATGAGATTTTTTTTCACTCTTCTTTTTAATCCTGAAAAGGTATTGCTACTGAGTGGATCCCTTAAAGCAATAACAATCTTTTTTTCAGCCTCACATGTTTTTCAAGTTTAACTTTTTGATAGAATTCATAAAAGCAAATAATATACACTTAGTACTGAATAAAAGTAAAACAAAATCCTACTAATTAGTCTGTAAAACTTTACAGAACTTGCAAATGTCTGAATCCAAAAGTAAAACCTTGTGGAAGCAAGATATATAACAAAGAGTACGTTAGATAGGACAGGCTCAATCAATCACCAAAATTTTGTAAAAGTATTGGAGGATGGATGGATGGATGGATAGATAGATAGAGAAGGAAGGAAGGAAGGAAGGAAGGAAGGAAGGAAGGAAGGAAGGAAGGAAGGAAGGAAGGAAGGAAGGAAGGAAGGAAGGAAGGAAGGAAGGAAGGAAGGAAGGCAGGCAGGCAGGCAGGCAGGCAGGCAGGTAGTAGGTAGGTTCTAATTCCTATATTCCTCTTCCCAGGCTAATGGGTGTCAGCACTCACCACAGTATTTTTGTTCAGTTTTAAATGCCTGGAGAAAGTTTATATGTGACTTGGCACCATTATCTTCAGTGCATCCCTAACAAGTTTAAACTCTTCCTTTGGAGTAGATATTTTTCTTTTAACACAGAGGATGGGTAATCATTTTAAAATGAACACCTTGGACTTTGGAGGCTTAACTGGGCATTCAAGCCAATCGATATTTCTACATGGGTATAAGGTTCCAAACACAAATTCCCAGTAATTGCACCTCAGAAATGCTCTTTGCCAAGTCATTCTGCACTTTCCATGTTCAAATTGGGTAAGACAAACCATTCTCAAAGAGTTATTCCAAATTAAGGGTAAAACTTGAACATCTCCAGCACTTTAAAAGTGCTTCTGAGTATTCACTGCTGTTCGTGTAATATCAGAGTATCACAAATTGCAAGGTTGAAAAGAACTTGGAAAATCATCTAATCCAAGTCCATATTCAGTTTGAAAATCTACTACTACAGTATACCTAATACCACCAGAAAAGAATAGTCCAGCATCTCTTGATATAGTCTGTCACTGCTGAATTCTTACCATTAGTAAGGTTAAACCTAACATTCAACTAAAATCAACTTCCTTGTAATTTACACATATTTTTTCTTATCCCATCTTCTGGAACAAATTTTAAAAGCTCATCCAACACTTGAAGACCTCTATCATGTCTCCCTAGTCATCTTCTCTCCAGACTAAACATACCAAACATCTCTAAGCATTCCTTGGTTTTTTCAGACCTCTTATCACCTTGTTTTTCATGGTTATGCTCCAGTTTGCCCTTGTCTTCCTAAAATGTGATGCCAGGAATAGGATGCAGTATTTTAAGTGTGGTCAGACTATCACACATTTTGTTAATACTGGAGTCTTCAGCTTAGTGACCGAAAGAGTGTACAATACTACTGTGGCTGAAACAGCATTAATGGAAAATTATTTTCCATAGACCTTCACTCAGTATAGGGCCTGAACAGGCAGCTGCACACTTTTCCAAATATGCAGGGGTATGATGGGGAGGGTAGCTGAGTTGGAAACTGCACGAGCCCCTTGTTTTAGAATGGGGGGAGAATTAACTCAATGCTTTGTTTAAAAAAAATACAAAAAACACAGCTCAGTTATCTCGGAGATCTTGGCCTTCTCAGTCAATCCAGATGGAGCCTGCAGGAGAGGATGGGCTTCATCTGTTCCAGCAAGAAGGCAAATCTTAAGATTTCTTCCTGTCTCCAGAAGGAAAGCCCTCCTTTTAGTCTGTAGGTTTGCTTTGGGGAAATGCTGGTGTTTCTCAGCTCCATTTTTAGGGCCGACAACAGAAAAAGAGTAATTAAAAAAACAAGAAGACACCGCTACCACAATTGGAGGCTGTAAGCAAGAACACACCGCCACCCATAAGCCCCACATGGCAGCCGGAGCCAGCGGCGCGGCGAAGGCAAGCAGGACGGCAGGCAGTAGGACTCTCCCCCCTCCCCCCCCGTCTGTTCAAGCCAGCAAGCTAGTTAGCAAATTGGCAAGACCCGCGGCCTACACGTGACCTTTCCCAGCCCAGGAGAGAGCCGCATGTTCGCTGTCATGCATGCTTGTTCGGCATATAATTCCACCTCTTTCGTCCATAAACCAGAGACGCCGCTATCCCGGCGTTTCTCAACTTAAAGGAATCCAGGCACAACGAAGCTTCCTTCCCCGGATTGGCTCATAAGGAAGCGCGGGCCCCCTCGGGACTTTCCCCGGGTCCTGGCGGGGGGGGGTCCGTTCTATCCCCGCCTCCGTGCACGCGGCTCCCTGGGCGGGCAGAGGCTCCCCCAACCGTACCTGAGCAGCCCTTTCGGCAGCAGCGGCTTCTCAGCGGGCGGGAAGAGCCATGGCGGCGCTTCCTGCGCGAGTCGCGGCGAAAGACGCGTCGCCTCTGATTCGTGGACCAGGCCGACAAACTGGCCACGAGGCCACGCCAGGAGGCGCGCTTTTGGTTGAGAAGAAGATTGGCCTTGGCTTTTCCCTGGACGTTTTTTACACGATTTTGTATTTCGTGACCAGCGACTTCATTATTGCCCCAAAGCAAAGGAAATTAATGTACTACAACAACGCAGGGAAAATTTTGCTTCCGTTTTGGTCAGTTTTCATCACTTGTCAAGATAACGTGGCCCGAGCGTGGGAAGCTTCATTCCCAAACTGCGAAGAATATGAAGTGTTTTATTGAGATGCGGAAAACATTTCATCAGACCACCCTGTACCGTTAAAAATAATTACTTCCCCCAGCCAAGATTTGTTAGACGGTTTAGATAATTAACTTGTTGCACATCAAAGTCACATCCTATGCATGTCTTATTTCCTTTCTTCCGAACATTAAAAAACTCTGGCAAAAGCAGAAGCACTCAAATCAATTTTCTCCAATAAATCCAACTAACATGAAACTCAAAACCTACTGTAATATTCAATGGGTCAATGTACTGCAGTTGCTCTTGCTTTGAATCTAAATGCAGCTGCATGCCATATCCTGCAAAGTGAATTCAGATGTTCAGATGGAATAAGATTATTTCAACATGCTTTAGTTTATATTTGAACCGTTAGATGGAGATAATATTTTATTAACACTATTTAAAATTAGTAATTATAAAGTTCTATGTGATATTTTAGGAATTCTTCTGAAGCCTGTTGTTCATAAAAAATATTTTAAAAGGAAAGAAAACGTTGCATAAAAAGAGTTTTATTCATAGTTCTTTATATGAAAGCTATCACTCAGCAATTTAATATGTCATTTCAGACACCTCATAACAGTTTCAATTCCAGTTCAAAATAGCATTTTGATATTGTACAGTTTATCTAAATTTAAGGGTATCTAGAATTTAATCTTCTCTAAACAAAATCATATTTCTGAAAATAAACTTCTGAAATGTTCATATGAATCCATGCTAATTGTGATACAGAACATAAGTACTACAGTGGTTTTAGTATTGCGTTCAGTTAATCTTCATTCCTAATGAGCTTGTAGACATATTTATGTACTGTAGTTTCTTTGGCAAAAATTTAAAAGTGATTTTCCATTATTACCAAGACCAGTTCTTGCTTCCTAGCCCAAACTGGTTTACCAATTCATGGTTTCAGGGAATAATGTTAAGAGCCTTATGTTTAATAGAATGATGTTTGGCAAAAGTACTTTAGATTACGTGTCCACAATTTATGTGGATGTAATAATGCTTTTGTTCAAAGTTGAGAATATTAATTTATATGAACTTTCTCAGCTTGGAAGTAACATCAAATAGACATATGATAGCAATAAAACTCATCCTAGGAAAGAATTACATTTCTGTCCAATTCACTTTTTTTCTAAATTTACCATATTAAAATTAAACTTTTTTCCCCAAATCGCAAACTTAAGTTGTTTGGACTATAAATGCTTTAAAATGTTTTAGAAGAACTTAGACCTTGTGTCAGCAGAGGATTTCTCTCTTTTTCATTAAAGTACCCTCTTGTTTTTAAACTTTTGTAAAAAAAAAATGAGAAAAAGTTTTGTCTGCTTTAAGAATTAATCTAATGAAAACCTGAAAAAAGCTACTTTAATCAATAGCAAAGAAATCCTTTGCTCATGCAAGGTCTGAAGCACTGCAATACAGAATCATTTTTGAATTGCACAGTCATAAGTAATATCCCAGCTACTTATAAGCTACCCTTATCAATGGATAGTCAATAATTTTCTGCAATGATTCTGTTTCTTCTTGGTCCTTTATTAAGGATTGGATTGCTGTTCTAGGTTCCTGTTTTACAAAGTCAGAGTAAAAAAAAATCATGCAAACTCAAGTTTGCAAATAACAACAGTAAAAACAAATAGTCATTGTTTGTTATGCAGTAATGCTTAAATATATATTGATATAATGCCTTTTATACCATTGCTGCATTATAATACAGAATGTTTATAGTTTATCAAATCAGACTTTGTCCTAACACAGGGGTGTCAAACTATTGCCCCACGGGCCGGATGAATCATAGCAAAACCGCACCCACCCCATTGCTTGCAATAGCAAAAAAGTCACAATACGTCATGACATATCACGTGACGTTGGGAGTTTGACACCCCTGTCCTAACAGATAGATGGACATGGTGGAAAAACAGTAGTCTTTTATCCAGAAGTGGCTTAAGTCCTGACTAAGATTCTGTACTCATAAAAGTTGAACCTATTAGCTTTGTTACATTGAAGGGATGGGCCTTCTTGCCCCAGGATATGCATAAAAGTAATAATTAGGTCACCGATAGTATTCTGCCTGGAAACTTGCTATTTGTTTGCTTTCTGTTTTTTAATGCAAATTCTGCAACTATGCCACAGTTTAGTTTAAATGCAAAAAAGCTGTCTTTTACCAAATAGGCAAAAATATGCCATCTCTTTGCAGCCCCTTAAACCAACCAATTTTTTTCTCAATATTTTTTGCAAAGGACAGTCATGAATTCCCAGGAAAGGCATGGTTGCTTTAAGGAGCTACAAAAACTGCTATGCTTGTATCTCTGCATGCTCTGAAACACTTCCTTGCTTATGGAGAGAGCCCCAAAAATGTCCTTGGATAAGCAATGTAGCAACCACTACATTTTCTCCCATGTTTTAAACTTGGGAGAAAATAAATTCAGGTTAAGAAGGAAGGGAAAACACTGTTATATTTCTTTAGTCTACAGGTAGTGCTCACCTAGTGGTAACTGGGACTGGAAATCATAAAACCTGAAGTCACATGACTGTGCCACTTAAGCAATGAACATTCCGGCATTTCTGGTTGCCATTATTAGGCAAATCACCATGGGTCATTAAGAGAGGACATCATGTGGTTGCTATTTAGGAACTGGCAGTTTCCTCATTGACTTTGCCTGTAGAAAGCCAATAAAGAAGGTCACAAATGGCAATAACTGAGGGATGCTGCAATGTTGTAATTGTGACACCATGTGATCACAGAGACACTGCAATTGACATGTAAAGGACCAGTCATAAGTACTTACTCATTCAATGCCAGTGTAAGTTTGCTGTACAAGGGATAGTTAAAAGAGGACTGCCTGAGTATTAGTAAAATAGAATTCTAATATTCTGCCTGGTCTTCCTTGAAAGACTGTTAGTAAGGAGAGTTACAAGCTATAGCCAGTAGTATAGGCACTCCCCAGATTAAAGATGTCCAGCTTATGGACCACACATACTGTACTTACAAACAGGTTGCCTATTACTAAAAATGGTGGACAACATTCTCCTTCTAGCTGAGAAATCATTCAAGCCATGCAATGTTTTTATGAACTGTTGAAATTGTGCATTTTTAAATACGTCCTGTTTTCAGCAGTTCATCAGCTCAAGGAAAAATGATCCCACTTGCCATTTTTAGTAATATGCAGTCTGTTTTTAAGTACAAATTCCGACTTGCATAGGAATTTGATCTACAGACAGACTTAGGAACAGATCTCAATCTTCACTGGTTGTATCCTCAGGATCTTGCCACTTTTCTCAAAATGACAATGGCAATATTGCAAGCTCAGCCCCTTTCAGCCTTGTATATGATATTGCAATGTACAAAGAAAGAGGACAGCGCTTGTACATCAGTGCTGCTTTTTGTGACTGATCTTGTTGCCTCTTTGGCCCCAGCAAATACAGCTTATCATAATAAGTTCAAGGAGTCATTTTTCTTTGAATGTATCTGAAGTTAAAATCTGAATCTTCAAAATGCATGAAAAAAATGTACTAATTCTATTTAGCAAAAGATTTCATGCACACTTTTACATTGAGAATATGAAACATATGCATGAAAATTAATCTGTGTGGTATTTTAAAAAGTCATTAACCAAAATCAGGAAATGAACATTCCCTAAATTCCACAAATGCCTTACCTTCTGAAATGTATGCTCACAGAAGCTTTAAAAGGGCTTATCAATGTGTATGTGTGTGGTCTACCTTTTGCAATCAGTCTGATAAATTTCTAAGTAATGATGCCTATAACTGGAAAGGTCATTTGTCCCAAATATTCTTCATTTCATGTTGGCCCTTATTATTTTCAGTAATATTTTTACTAAAATAAAAAAATAGTAAACCTTTAATGTCACACAGAGAATAAATCTGATATTATTCAGTATCAAAAGTTATTTTCTTGCTTCGTTTCCCAATCTTAGGGTTCACAGTGTTTTGTCATATAATACAATGTTTATTATTAGAGGATAAGTAGGGAAGAGAAAAACTTATGCATTGTCATTACTAGCAAAACTACAATATTTTATGTTTCATCCTAAACCATGCTGGTGTTGCTCTTTTGACCAATCATCATCTTGACAATGTCCCTTTAGGCCATCTCTTGGGACAGTAAATTGAAAATAGCTTCATTCCAGAATTTTATACAGTGCTGAATATAAAATTATACAGATAGCCCTGCTTCAGGGGAGATAATAAGATATTTCCAAGAACAAAAATAGTCTCCCAGGAAAGATAGGTGGTATTGACAAAGTACAGGAGTATTTGTAATGTGACTGAAATACTGTGATGGTTTTGAAAACTAAAGGAATACAAATGTGGACTTAAAGAAACTGGTGAAGAGAAAATGTCATTTAGATATGTAAGTATAATTATGTTAATATGAAAACCTTTAGCTTAGATACTATCTGAACTTTATATTTAAATATTGCCTATATAAATGTGATATAATTCCATGCCACAATGTCACTATTTTCTATTTTATTTATTTCAATTCTCTGTATGGCACCTTAGTAGCTCAGAATGGTTCACAGAAATTCAGTCAAAACAAACATTAGAGCATTGTTAATCATCAAACCATATGTAATATAAAATATTAAATACTAAAATTTAATTAAATACTACAATACTAAATTTAAAATATTAAATTTAAAACAATGTAAGGACCTATGTAAACAAACACATCTGAGTCTTTTTAAACTGTAATAAAAAGGGTCTTCCTTCAATTTCAATGGCAATTTGTTCCACAACTTGAATTCTATCATGGAAGAAACAAAATTAACCATAGATTCAGAGGGATCTGAGGAACACACAAATGGTAAACTATTGATGACCTCAGAGCGCAGGACAGATTGTGTGAGATTACGCAGTTCTGCAAATATCTTGTTTCTAAGCCTTGTACAGCTTTACTCACCTGGATATAATTTACCTCCCCAGTGAACTTCAGTTTTCTGTACAACAGTTGGAGGAAGGAGGCAGTCCTTTTCTGTCTGGATTAAATTCAAAATATTTGAATTTAAAGTCCTTGTAGAAAGGGCATTATAAAATAAATTATTAATAACTTTTTAAAAGTTTCCTTAATTGTTTCACAACTATAGGTATTAAATTTGGTATTATAGTTGGCATTCATCTCAAGCCTTTTGATAATTCTTTTGGGTAGATCTCAAAATGTGCATGTTTTTAAAATACTTGCCCATTATCTGACTATTCAAATACCCAATTTAAGCACATGCTGTAGTCTGGAGATAATCATAGCATCCCAATGAATCGTGATGTTTTTGCAGTTATTCTGTGAAATGTAGTATCACTTCAAACTATTATTTTATGTCTTACTGGCTTAGGAGATATGCAGAAATGCCATTGGCTCAAAACACTTGTTAGGATTCTTGTGCAGATATAATTACAAAAATACATGTAAGTTTACTACACAGTACATGACATGTACCTAATTTACAAAACACATTTCAGGAACTTCCTCTGTGTTTTGATTAGCCCACAAACGATTTTTCTAAAATTTGACTGATCTTAAACGAGCATTACAAATGTTTAAAATAAAAACTTTTAAGCAACAACAAAAGGAGAACGTTTTGTTATTACTAATACTTTTATTAATGTATACATAGAAACATTGTGTATACATAGTGTATACATAGTGTATACATAGTCAAAAAGGAAGAAAACTGATTGCAAAGAAAAATTATAAGAATCAGATCTTTATATTTAAAAAATGTATTAAATCACAAAATGAGTTGCAAGGGACCAGGAACACAAAAAAACTCTCTTATATTTTCTCTATTAGGAAAAAAACCCCAAGGGGAAATATATTTTGAAAACAGAAATGAAGCACCATAGAATTTTGGGAGAATATTAAGTAAGGTAAAAGCAGGAGGGGGGTTAATTTGCCTGAATTAAACTCTGCAGTTTATTCTACAGTGTATCTCATATACTATAATCATTGCTGAGTTCCATTAAATGCAACTATAAACCTTCAAGTTAAGGTTCCAAAATTAAATAATTTTTAACAATGCATCCTTAATATTTCAACATTTTGCATTAACAGCTTCACATATTCTTTCTTCTGAAATGTGTAGTGATTTATAGATATGTAACATTCAACTTTGATAAATTTTCTTTGCATAACTTCTGCATACCCCAAAATATATAAGTTATTGGCTGAAACCAAGAGAACAGGTTTAATTATTTAAAATGTCTCAAGTGTTTCCTGAATTAATGCTTGCAAGAGATCTGTATACTATCTCCCATATCAATAATAACAATACACACCTATACAATATACACTTCTTCACATTTTTCATTCCTTTATATCTTTACTGCTTTCATTTTTCATACATGAGAACCTATCCAAGACCATACTCTAGATAAAGCTGTACTTTAAAAGAAGCAGTGATCAGGCCACTTGTGAAGAAACTAAATCTGGGCATAGAATATGAAAATAAATTATTGATTATTATATAATGAGCTGTGTAAGGGGCTGCCTTTGAAAATGATTTGGAAAGTTAGTTCAAAATAGAGCAGCTAGATTGCTTTCTGGGATAAGCCAATGCAAACACATTATTCCAATTCTTTGCCATCTACAGTGGATGCCAATTTTTTCTGGACCCAATCTAAAATGTTGATTTCAACCTTGAAAGACCTAAACCAAATTATCTGAAGGAATACTTTCTCACCTATGTATCTACCCAGATTTTAAGAATCACCTCCATTCCCTTCACCAAATGAGGTGGATCTCTATCTGCAGTAATTAGTACTTGAATAAAAGATTATCAGGAAATTCAGTTGTGTAGGTTAAATTTCAAAGTTGAAATATGGGTTTGAGAAGAAGGCAGTGACTACTATGTTGCTGTCAAGAAAACAACATCAATCAATCTAGTAGTCTTCAGAAGTCAAACTCAGATTGAGGCAGAAATTCAGGCAGGATAATCCTACAATAGGCTAAAATGAGATTTCAACAACATGAAACTCGAGATTAAGCTTCCATCTGAGTGTCTAATGATCAAAGCATCTTCAGTTAAAGGGGCCTGGCTTTCTTCTTTAGAGGAACTGAAAATCTGCTAAGGCTTCTGGGCTGGAGTCCAAAAATTGTGATGCAATCTCACAAACCAGAAAGATGTTGGCAAAATTGGCTCATTTTGTCTTGGAGCTTCCAGAGTAAGGGCAACATCTGAGACAATCTTCTTGATGGCTAGGCTCAGACTATAGAGTCCCCTCTTAAGGCTAGTTTTCTTTCTTCTGCAAAAGAAAAAAAAAGTTTTATTAAAGCAGGTCTACGGTTGTTCTTTCTTCTGCAAAAGAAAAAAAAAGTTTTATTAAAGCAGGTCTACGTGCATAAGTGTAATTGAGGAAGATAGGAGTATGTGCAGTTTCTTTAATATATTGTGTTTCTAATGTTTATATCATCCTTCATTGTAATCATATTTAAATGATCGATTAACCATGTGAGTGCTATTTACTTATAGAAATATTGGGTAGAAATTCAATAGATGTATTTGTTTTAAGAACAAATCTCATTTTGGATGCATTCCCTAAATGTATGAGCTTGTTCTACTGAGATGGAGAACTGAAAGTCTAGGATAATGGCAGATAATGAAATTGTCAAAATTAAGGATTAGAAGAGATATTTAAAATTAAGTAAAACACTGAGTATTACAGAGTCTTCATATGAATGTTAAGCAGGAACGAAGGAGCATATGCAGCTCTCAAGACCACATTTGTTGCCACTGCAACTCTCTGAGGTGGAACTTCAAAAGCCAATTGTTTTGTGATGCTTATGGCAAAATAGCCAAGCACCAATAGCACAAGCACCTTAAATGTAGAAGCCACAGATTTAATAAAAATGGTTTCAAACAAATGTTTCATCTGCATATTATAAGAACTACTTCATAATGTGGATAGCCAAAACCTCAGTGAAAGCCACAATAATATGAAACCATCCGCACTGGAATAACTTTTATTTCCTTCTACCAACCAGTCCAAGCAAATGCCACATGTTGAAATAACTTTTAAATTGCAGGCCTAGAGGTTTATTCTGCTAACTATACTCTTTGGAATAGAAAATGCTCATAAGGTGTTGCAGCAATGAATTCTTCAATTGAGTGGCAGTCCACTCTATCTCAGGTACCTAATCTATTGTTCCCCAAGAAATGAAGACACTGGCAAAAAAAAAATTGGTGTGTATATCTTCAAGTCAATATTAATTTCTGGTAAATGCCTGGACAAGCCCTTGTCATTTCTAGGCAAGATTTTATAAGTGATTTGCCACTGCCTGCTTCTTAGGGCTGAAAGAAAATGGCTGACCCAAGTTCACCCAGCTGGCTTTGTACCTAAGGCAGAACTAGAATCAATTTCAGGTTTTCTAGCCTGATTCCTTAACCAGTACATCAAACTGACTCTCATTCATTCATTCATTCATTCATTCAGTTTCTATCTCAATCAATGACTCTGGGTCGCTTACAGTTCAAAAAATATATTATAATTAAATCACTAAAATCATTTTAAAATAATAAAAAGCAATAAAAACATCCAAACTAAATATGCATAGCAGCCAAGATGCTTGCCCAGTTAGCAATACAGTCAGGAAAGAGGCTTTTAATATATCAGGTGCTATAGGGATGGAGAAATAGTTAAATTTCACCATGAGATAGCTTGTGTCTGATTGTCTTTGTTCCTTGTCTTTCACCAGTGATACTCTGCTTCTTAGACCATTTAAGTTCCCTCAATTCCATCAAATACCACGAAGAGCATCACAAATCCTGAGCACTGAGAGGCTGCTCAGAAACTAATGCCACTGCCGCTTTGCTATTCCATGCAGCCACCAAGGCTTCAATCGGATTGAGTAGCCGTTTTTTTGGAATAACCACAAGCCTCCCTTTGGAACCCAGTTGAGTCCATTAGTTGCCTAGCATCCCTGTGAAGACACCCGTGAGTGATCTGTCCATGGTAGGGAAAAATCAAAATCCAGAACAGTCTGCCATTGCTTTGACAGAAAAACCAGATTGGGTGTATTACCATTGCTATGAGTTGGGCCCTGGATAATTTGGACCATGGCCATGGCTGCCATAGTGACCACAAATGTCCAAGCCAACTCTGACTCTGCATCTAAGGATGGCAGGTTGAAATCCCCCAGGAGTCCAGGGAACTCCATCGCCAGCCCAGCCACAGAATCAAGCAGATCAGGCAGGGAGATTGCTAAGTAGAAGGGAGCCTGGTACCATAGCAACAGCCCTAGCTGACTTCTCCTGGCGCCCAACTTAAGAAATAGTGTCTCACTTACAGCAATCTGTGGGGCAAGGCCCTTGGATGCCTCAGACAATCCCATCCCACGTCCCCTATCCTGGGGTCTCAGCTAGTGTTCAATCCGGAAATCAGCTGGGCCAATCTCACTGAGTGGAACTGCCCCCTTGCCCCAACCAAGTCTCAGTAATGTATGCTAGATCAGCCTTTTCCTAGACAATTAAGCCCTAGATTAAGGGGGTTTTATTACACTGACTGATCTAGCATTCACCAGCAGCAACCAATAGCTGCTTTGAAAGGGCCTTTGAAAGCCTGCCATCCAGGGCCTAAGTCTGGATGTGCCATAGGAACAAGATACCTGTGGCTCGGTCCCCATGAGCAGTCCATTTCTCAACTTCACCATATTTTACCTATCACTATTGGAATCTTATACCCTGCTCCCATTCTTTCAGAGTCTCCCCATTTCCCTGTTCATAGCAATACATGTCCACCCTTGGCTCCAGCCTCACACATACAAAATTCCTGAGAGGCCTTTGCTACTCAAAGTGCTTCTGCCTAGCATTCAACATTTATGGGCAGTCAGAAAACTTATTCAGCCTTCCAGTTATAATCCAACAGCACTAGGTACTCAGTCAGTCTCTCACTGTACTGCTGAAGACCTAACTACACAAACTCTACATCCCCTTTCATCCCAAAAGGTGGGCTGCTCCACTCACCAAACCCTCCAACAAATATTAGTTCCAATCAATCTTGTTGCAGACACCATTCGTTTTCTTGACCAGCTTATAATTCCTGCGCACACATTCGTTTTATTATCCTCCAGCTCAATTACAGAGTGGAGTCAAAATGGCTGGCAATTAAAAATGGCAAATTACAGAAAGACTTTGGCATGGATGCTGCTCCCTCCAAAGTTGCAGAGGATGGTTTCAAGAAGATTTCATGCATGAAATGTCTATGCCGGCATAGTAATGGGGAAGTTGAGACTGCTGAGCACATCAGTCTTCAATCTGTGCTGTACAGAAACAAGCATCTTGTTTATCTTCCTGATATTATCAAGGCTATCAGATATGCTCATCAGACATATTTGCAAATGTTTCTATTATGCTGCAGCTTTTAAAACTTGCCAGGAGTTGATTAAGAACAAAAATTGATGAATGTTATATAATTTATAAATTAACACTAAATTAATATTGAATTTCTGAATAATGATAGACATATGGGTTATCCGTTTTAATTTTTATTACATTTTATGGATTGTACAGTATTAGCCTTATGTTATCTTCTGCTGGTTTCTAGCCAAAGTAAAGATTGTTATACTTATACTATTACTTTTTATGCAATTATGGCTGCTGCAAATTGATCTATGATGATGATGCATCAACCACTTCGTTTTGTATGTGACTTTATCCATCTAATACATTTATTCTGTTTGGTAGTTAACATTGCTATTACTTATACTTTGTCCTCATCATAAAGATAACTTGCAAGGACTATAGGAATTAGCTTTCCTGAATACCTTAATTATTGATAGTTTTAGCAAAGTATGTTATAATTGCACATAGCTATATTCATTTATGAAATATATCCTTTGCAAATGCTTGGTTTTATCCTGCAATATAGATTTCCTCTTCTACAGAGATTTAACAACAGTTTTGCTTATCAGGCAGTCCTCTTAATGTGTGTAATATAGGAAAGCTGCAATATTATGAATTCATCTATCCATAGTAATTGTTCAATTCCTAATTTAGGTTTGTGTTGAACTTATTTTTGCAATAGGCAGCACAAAGGCAATATTTCAACCAGACAGAAAACCAAGCAAAGACACCTTTCAGGTGTTAAAAGGGCCCCAAAATAAAGATTTAAAATACATGTCAGCTGAAATTATCTCTTGACATTTTGATAAAAGCCCATCCACTTTTGTATCTAAAGAAAATCCATGTGCTATAAAAGTCATCATTATTAAATCCAGTAGGTTTCTTTTTTAAACTTTTGTAGTTGATGACCATTTCAATTGTATAATGTAATGTTTTGTACTTCCTTTGCTGATCACAGGCATGTTAAAGTTCATTCTCCGTGATATTATGTTTTAAAGAAACTCTAATTTTATGAATGGGATTTTAGTGTTGATTTTTTACTAGCTGGTTTGTATCATAAGATCAATTGCATGACCAGAAGGGAAAAGATAATCCTTTCCTCTCTGTACATTGCAGTACCACATCTACAGGATCTCATTTCTAGGATTACCTTTAGCATCACATCTGGTGTGGTTTTAGGGCTTGAATGAATTTTAGCTCTAATGTGCAATATTTATATATTATAGTCAGTGTTACAATTAGCAAACTTTTCCTGACACTTCAGCAAAGGTTTGAGGGATATATGGGAGAGGAAGAACCCATTCCGCCAGCAGATTCTTTCTCATAACCAGATAAATGTTAGATGTTAAATCTAATCAGCTGGCTATTAAACCTTCCTTGAGAATCTTGATTTTGATTTCAAGGAAAGTCAGCTGTTTTTCTTTAATATTTGAAAATGTTCGTTACACTTTAGCATGACTGAGAAGCAAATTTCAGATGAGTTGAAGAGTGAAATGGTAAGAGTATATACACAGGCTTTTCTTTCTCCTTCTTCTCTAGGGGAAATGTTTAAGAATCAAAAAGAAAGTTTACTTCTGCAGCCCAGTGGAAATTCTATGTACACACCTTAGTTTCCCATAACTATACAATTAAAAACAATACAGAGTAGAAAAAACACAGCAAATGTGTATTCCTTCTTTAGGGAATATAACCCCTTTATGGATTACTGCCTTGTTGTGGCGAAGGGGCTTGCATAACTCAGTGAAGCTATAAGCTATGCTGTGCAGGGCCACCCAAGACGGACAGGTTATAGCAGAGAGTTCTGACAAAATGTGATCCACTGGAGAAGGAAATGGCAAACCACTCTAGTATCTTTGCCATGAAAACCCCATGGACAGTACTAAAAGGAAAAAAGATATGACGCTG